GCCGCAGCCGCGGGCTCCGAGCGCGTGCGATTGGCCGCAGGGGGGGTAGTCGTGCTGCTGACGTGTGGATTGGCAGCCGGCGGGCAGGCGAGCCCAGCATCACTGCTGTTCGTGTCTGTCTTCTTCCTGTATTTCCGGGAGGCGCTCCGATTCCGCTGCCGTTCGCCAGCCAGTTCCTCATGACTGCTCACTGCAGTCAGAACGGAGTTTGCATTTTATCCCACTAGCACGCTTCTCAAACGCTGTTGCAGCACCTGCCTCAGCCTCAGCCTCAGCCTCAGCCTCAGCCTCAGCGGGGCTCACTTCCCATCTCAGTGTGTGTGTGTGTGTGTGTGTGTGTGTTACAGCCTCTCGACAGTCAGATGCCACAGGGCCCGTCACAGCCAATAAACCCTCGTCGCTGGGGAGCTTCTACCACCTTCCTTCTTACCTCAGGCTGCACGACGTCCTGAAGGCCACGCACGCCAACTACAAGGTACGCGGCTCTGCACCTGCGCCTGCCCAGTGCCTCCTGGGCGCTCGCTCTCTCTTCTTGCAGGATTATTTTTTAGGTAAATGGAAAACCATCTCAGTGTTACTGAGACACAGTTTATCTGTAACATAACATTTTTTAAAAATACGTTTTTGTTGACTTTTTTTTAGAGAGAGAGGAATGACGAGGGATAGCTAGAAACATCCATGAGAGAGAAACATCATTGATCGGCTGCCTCCTGCACGTCCCCTACTGGGGATCAAGCCCACAACCCAGGCATGTTGCCTGACTGGGTACCAAACCGTGACCTCCTGGTCCTGGGTCGACGCTCAACCACTAGCCATGCCGGCCGGGCCTCCCCGGGGTTCTTGATGTCTTCGGGTTGGTAGCTGTGTGCATACCTGGGGATGTGAGTGACAGTTAGTGTTCTCAGGTTGGCTTGGCCTCTAGTGGTAGCTTCCAGCCCTCCGTCTTCACGTTCTCACCCCCGTGACCCTGCCCCATTGCCTGCTGGGATGGACTGCTTCCCACCCTCTCCCCGACGGAGCTGCATGGACCCTCTCGCTCCGGGTGCTCGCACTCCTGGCGTTCCCTCCTGGCCTGTGGACGACACCCTCAGGGCGACAGGAGAGTGGTCACTGTCGTTCCCACTACGTCTTTGTCCCGTGTGTCCCTGACCTGGTTCCTCTCTCACTGGGGCCGTCAGTTCGTCCCTGAGCTGCTTTCTGTTCACCGCGCACCTTTGAGGGTTGGGCCAGTTCCTGTGTCCACGCCCATTTCTTCCCTTTGGCCTTGTTCTTGCCCATCGTACCTGGGCCTGACCATTCTTTCGGTTTTTAAATGGGGGACCGACTGCTGCATCATTTAATTCGGCCGAGGCCTTTAGAGCCTGAATTCAGTGCCTCCTAAGACTAATTTCACCTGTGTTGTTGCCAGGCTGAACGGTGGGTCTGAACTCGATGAGTCCCCCAGGGATGCTAGTTCATGGAACAGGGCGTGCACGTTATGAGTTTGGAATGCTGCTTGTCAGACACTGGTTATGAGCGATGGTTCCCATCTTTCCCATTTTGACAGGTCAGGAGTCGTTTCTGTCTGTAGAGTTAGTATAAGTAGAAGATGCCTTTGAAAGAAACAGGTTTCCTACAGATACTGGAAGAGCGATTTCCTTTCCCCGGCCTTTCCCTGCCAGACAGGCAGGCAGGCAGGACCCCCGCTGGCGTGCGCGGGGCTGCTTGGTGTGCGCCCCCTGCTGCAGACACCCCGACGTGACGGTGCAGTGATCGTGTCTCCCTTCCCCCAAGGTCACCCTGGACCTTCAGAACAGCACGGAGAAGTTCGGGGGCTTTCTGCGCTCGGCCTTGGACGTGCTCTCTCAGATCCTAGAGCTGGCCACGCTGCAGGACATCGGGAAGGTGCAATGTCTTTTCTTCTCACTGAGCCGCAGCTGCCACACTGCCGGCCCCTGGGCCGAGTGCCTGGGGTGGCTGGTGTGGGCCTGGCACCTGGGGCGGCAGCGGCAGCGGGGGAGGCTTTGTCACAGCGCCTGGCTCTGAGCTGTGCTGGCCCCTGGCTGGTGGGGCTTCACAGGAACCCATCTCAGTTATTCACTGTCTATCGGCTTTGACCCACTCTAGTCTAGAAGTGGATGGGTTTAACACTGTGCTGGCCCCGGCCTTCATTGTCTTACTTGACCTTCGCAAGTGGGAAGGGCACACGCAGACCTAGGAGGCGCACGGCCGCCCGGGCGCCTCAGGACCAGCGGAGCCGCAGGAGGACTTGGTTCCGAGTCCAGCGCCCTCCCCCCCACCCCCATTCTCTAAGGAAACGTTCAGACACGGAGGAGAGTTTAGAGAGCGTGTGGCGCCCGCCCACTGCAGACGGCGTGCTGCGGGGGCAATGTCTTATTTTGAGCCCGAGTTCCAGGTGCCGGGCCAGGGAACATGTGGCCCTTCGGGGAAGCACCGGCTCTAACTGAGTTCACCAAACCTTTTCTCCACGTCCATAGTCACCGGTCTTCACCGTCACACAGCCACCCCGCTGCTTCCCGTCACGCCTGTGCCTTTGCCCGTGCGTGCGTGCATGCGTGCGTGCGTGCGGCCCTTGTTTCTAGTGGCAGGCACCTCTTTGTTCTGGTCTGGGGGTGCTCAGTGATTGCCCTTCAGAGTGAAACCTGCCAGAGGTGGGGCGTCCCACTCCGGGAGACCTGCCTGGTGCCCTGTCTATGATGGCCCCTCTCCACACCCTCTCCTCCTCTCTGTCCCCCCTCCCCGGCCGCAGCTCCTGCAGACGCTGTCACTCCTGTGGCCTCTTGGTCTTCGGTGCCTGCAGTGGGGCCTGGGCGGTGGTGGCTGCCAGCGGGCGCGGGGCAGTGAGTGGCGGGCATCGTAGCTGGGAGTGGTCTGAGGGCTGTAGGCTAGGCGTGCGCGGGAGCCAGCACCCCCAGCCTCCTGCAGCGCCCGCTTCCCCCGCAGTGCGTGGAGGAGGTCCTGGGCTACCTGAGGTCCTGCTTCAGCCGGGAGCCCACGATGGCCACGGTCTGCGTCCAGCAGGTGAGGAGGGCTCTTTTCTCAGCCGCCGTCCAGG